TGTTATGGAATCATCTAGATTGTTTCTACTTCCTTTGAAAATATAGCTAGTCTTGATCATAGATTGTTCTTAATGACCAGTAGTAATTGACTTCTTAGCTAGCAAAGAACTTTTGTATGCAAAATACATAAGAAAAACCATCTACTCACGTATTGAACTTAGTTACAAAGTGTTAAGACTTTTGCAAAAGTTTTATTAACTCAAGACATTTTGAACCAAACTATAACTCGGCTGAGCTAAACTTTGATTTGTGTGAAACATGGTTTTAAACGGCGACAGTCCGCCTCGAGGTAGTGAGGCAGTTAGCCAGTTACATTTAACCTTTGAGGCTTAAGTCTCAACAGGGCCTCACAATGTTGAGGCAGTATGGCGTAAGCCTCAATTTCAATAAGAATTCGAACAATAATAAGGGTTATTTTTAAAAATATATTAGGCCTTTTTTTCACAAAAACTCTTTTGGGCTTTTGCACTGTATAGTTTCTTATGAAAAACTTAATACAACAACAACAACCCAGTTAAATCCCACAAGAGTAGGGTCTGGGGAGGGTGTGTGTACGCAGACCTTGCCCCTACTCGAAAGTAGAGAGGCTGTTTCCAAAGAGACCCCCGGCTCAACGTCGAAAGTTGCATTGCTTGACTAACTGCTACTTCATTATTTAAAGAAGCGCAGACAGTTTAGAGATCCATTTTGATTTATTCCATCACACCCCAAAGCCAAAAAATGGTGAAATTTTGGCTCCATCGGAGATGATGGAAAGCCAAAAAACTTAATAAACTTAGTAAATAATTAACACTTTTTTCCCCGACTTTTCCGCCTTTCCATCTTCAAACTTCAGTGGCACTTCTCTCTTGTGGGAGCAGCTAAGGTGACAACTTCATATTTTAATTGCTTATCTTCTATTTCATTCATCTTTTTCTTTCAACTTTTAATTTTTTCGGTTCCTTCTTTTCCGGCATCCCTCTCCCACTTATAAATTCAGTTCAAACTTCAAAGAATGATGTGACTTTTTTGCACGAACTTTTGTCCAATTTTTAATATATATAAGGTTCGGAGATGCATTTGAGACATTTATGTTTTAAATTTTTATATTTTTTTTGTGTTTTAAGAATTGTGATATGGTGTCATTTTTTGTAAAATTCAAGAACTTTTGTTTTATTATTTACGTAGTATTTAACATGAAAATGGAGTATTTCCTCGTAAATATTTTAGTACTCCGTATTATTTTTTTCATATTGAGTTGCGGCCTATGCTTAACTCCGCCTCCTGGCTTACACCTCAAGGCATTTTTCCTCACTACCCCGAGGCTAGTTTTCGCCTTACAAAACCTTGTCGTGAAATGTGAAAAGAGTTGAATTATATTGTTTGATGATGGTTCTATAGCTTCATTTGACAGTCAAGACATCATGCTTGCATGTTGTGCATTATTTGGCCTAACTTTTGCATACTTCAATTTTTTTATTCGTGTAGTTAAATAAGCTCGTGGAACTATACAAAGAGAGTTCGAATGAGTGGTCTAAGAAGGCAGGTGAGCTTGAGGGTGTGATCAAGGCATTGGAGGTCAGTTGTTTTATTTACATGCAACACATATTAGAACCTCAATCATGGGCTTACATAGCATACCATGGACCTAATGTGATCAATTAACCTTCCCTTGTATTTTCTACTATTACTATCATTTGCCCTTGGTTCCTTTAATGGGTGCACATGTTTTTAATGAGTCCAATAAAAATACATTTTTTCCTGCTGTTTCTGATCAGGCCCATTCAAACCACATTGAAACAGACTACAAAGAGAGGCTTGAGAAGGAAGTTTCAACTAGGAAAGAATTAGAAGAGGTATGCAGCGTGTTATGATACTAAGACATTATAATCCTAATTGCATTGGGGTCTAGCGGGTCAAGATGTACACAACCTCTTTAGAGAGGCTTTTTGTGATTGATAACATGATTTGCAATTTTCTAGCTGAAATACTTGCTTTGAGTTTTAAGTAGTTAGGAAATGAACATAGATGAATAACACATTTATGACCAATTGATTGACTATTTATACTGATGTTTTTTGTTTGGTAATTCTTGATTTGGTTGTAAAACACTACTATCCCATCCCACTATATTTGTCCCTTTTTTACCTTTTGTTTTTCCCATTATTTTGTCTCATACCATATTTAGTAATATTTGTGTGGGTCACATGATCACATCTATTCTTACTTTTTTTACTTATTTTACGTACCAGTACTCTTATGTCCCAAAAATACTGGGATGATGGGAGTATCTCAAGATATTACTTTTTTGGTGATATGGCATGACGATACCAATTATACCATTTTTTTATGAAATTGTGAATATGAAATAATTATGGGGAAACTGGGAAAGGTGAATTGAATTGTTCAATTATAGATTTAAAGTTTCTGAGTGGACTATTATATCAAATTTAAACTTCAATTTTATATATCTTTCGATTTGGATGGAGTAGGCTGTTGCATCTCTGAAGGAAAAACTTGCAACATGTGAAAAGGAATTGGAAAAAAGCAAGGCAGATGGTAACACAATACCTTTGAGTAGTTGCAATACTGAATTGTAAGTCCTTTTCCTAAATCACATGTTATCTAAAAAAATCTGTAGGTACCTATCCAATCCATTCTTTGATTCCTTTCTCAAATGTTATAATATTAAATTTTTCCACTGTTTTTTATATGACTACATAGTGTAAACTTATTTTAGACACCTGATTGACACTAAATTGACACCACCAACCCTAACATAGTTTAATTGGATGACGATGTTGATGATGATTATATGACATTTATGAACATGTTATATAATCCATGGTATGCATGGCTATTTTACCATGTTAATTATGACCCTTGTAGTAAGACTTGACAATGTAAACAATATGTGGAAACAATTCTATGTTGAAGATCATGTCAGAATTTAATCTCCTTATTAATTTGTAGGAAGTTTGCAATAGGATGGCCTTGTTATGTACAATTTGGCACTGTATCTTTACCGGAATTTAAACGTTAACCAGTTTTAAACAATTTAAATAACAGCTTTAATTACATCACATAGTTGTAATATATCGCGTGCTTTATCTCCAAATATCTTTTTTACCAACCCTATTCAAATCTTTAAGGATTTTATTAATTCCCTGCAATTTGAAACTTTAACATCCTACAGAACTTCCATTTTCTTAGCTATAAGTTTGCACTTAACCAACTTATTCACTCTTTGGGTAGAGGTAGACTGTGTGTTACTGTGTACATCTCTCCCCTTGAGACCCTCTGACACACTGGAAACATTTGGCTTAGTATAAATTTCATTTAACTGATCCCTATGTAGGCTTAAACAAGGTGATGATGCCATTAAATTTCGCACACTCGCAACGATTGACGAACATGCTCTGGTGCTTCATAGGCAAATAGCAACAAATTGAATATGTGTAATAGACTAATGGTATGCTTGTGTCAGTATTTATTAAATAAGTGGATTAGAATTACATGAATGGCACAATTCATGTGTCATTGAAAAGAATGTCATAGCATGATCTGAGGGGGGTTCAAGTGGGCTGGGGGGTAGGAACCATCAATTTTATCCACGGAGCTCTGGAGGAGACTCGAGCTATGCTATGACATTGGAAGCCAATGTCACAAACTGTGCCGTCTCATGTATCTAACAATAAATAGTAACTTTATAAGCCAAGCTAAATAACATTAAGAAATAAAACATCCTAGTGAAATCCCACAAGTGAGAAAATTACCTTCTGTATGATGATAATCTTCCTATGTTTCCATTTGGCTTGTTTTATAATTTTCTTCCACTTTCTTTTTAAGGATATAATTGCATGGTTCATATTATCATTTTTCCTCTGCACAAACTGCAACCCCACAATTTTTACTTTATTAACATTGTGGCAAATCTTTACCAGAAAACAATTATGGGAAGGATTGAGTACAATTTATTGTGTGTTATTGTTTATATTAGTGTTGCTAATGTATTATAATTCTTATTTGTGATTTCTCTTCCGGTCTATAGACATCCTGGTGGTACATTCATGCCAATGCCGTGACAACTATGTTTCTCATTGCCTGGTTTTGAAATATTGAAAACTACAGGTGCATACATTCAGTTCCATCAACTGGGATGATTGAAGACGATCACTGGCTTGTACCCACTATTCCAGGTGGCATTTCAGGAACAGCATTAGCTGCAACGCTTATTCGAGATGGTTGGAGTGTGAGTTTAAATTCTCCATCATACAACTACTCCATCATTTCATGCTCTTGTTTCCGAAGCCTTTTCACTGTTTATTATGAACTAGAAAATAAGAGAACTACAAGAATGCAATTCATTCTTGCCACCATCTAATTCAAGGATTTTCCATTTATTTTGTTAAGTTGGCTAAGATGTACACAAAATATCAAGAAGCTGTTGATGCATTGCATCATGAGCAACTGGGTAGAAAGCAGTCTCAAGCTATCTTGGAGCGGGTAAATGTTTTTGAGCTATGAAGTTATCTTTAACTCAATCATTGTTAATCGTAATGTTTTTATGTGACTGTCATGTTTCTAGAATTGCTATGGCCATTGTGCCAATTGATATATTTTATCTCTTCCCCTATAACTCAAACATTGTTAATCCTTATGTTTTAACTTTTAACATGAATGTCATGGCTCTAATATTCCCAGGTCTATTTCTCCAATGGACACATATTTACTCTTCCCTTGATGATCTTGGGATTAATGTTAATTATGTGGAACCCGTGTTCTGTTTTACTGGCATACTTTGATTTCACCAGAGCAGTATCCTCCTATCATTAAATATGCTACTTTGTTCGTTATTCACTGCTGGTACACGGGCTAATTGAGAATATACTACTAGTCTCTAGTATTTGTTTGAGTTGCTTTGTGGCATTAAGTGAATATTTTCATGAGTTTTTTTTCTTTATAGGGCATAAGAGTTCAATTATTTGTTGCATCCTTATATGTTGTTACTCATGCCTGGAAAAAGGATTGTCTGTTACATTTCAATAGCTTTTCGAAGGGCTAATCAATGCCAACCTTCATGCTTGCGATCGTAATCCAGTTTCATGCATAACTAATACTCAGGATTTGCTTACAAAATAAGACATTCATATGGTTATCTAAATTATATTTTGTAGTTGGGGAGATCCCATTCTATGCTTATTCAAATGTCTTTTTGTTGGTTTACTGGTAGTATGGCAGGACACTTCTGGACAACATGAATTTGTGTATGTTTATGTTAGGTACTTCATGATATTGAGGAGAATGCTGGGGCTATATTGGATGAGCGAGGTAAGTCATTATTATGGCTCCATTTTAAGCTCCTCCAACCAGTCTTTTTAATCACAATCCTACCAAAATAATTAGTTCGAGATCAAAGAAAAATGGAAGTTCTGCAGTATTGGAATTGAAAGCTAGCACTTAATTGACATAGCCAGCTATTGTTTGAACTATCAGTAATCACTCAAAATTTTAATCGTAAAATCAGCTGGAAGATATCAAATCTTGAAAGAAGGGATGATTATACTGTGAAATCTGGTTCAAATTTGGAAATATCAATTTGTTCTCTAATTTCATGACACTAGATTTATAACTATTTACAGCGGAACATGAGAGATTGGTGGATGCATACACTGTGCTGGATGAAAAACTCAAGCATTCTCTTTCTGAGAAAGCTACTTTAGAGAGTGACATTGAAGAATTGAAGGTTTGTTTTTTCATTTTTGCTGTTATATGTTTCTTTACCTTCTTAGTCTCAACTCCTAAATATTAATATTAAAATTTTTCTTAGGCTGATTTGCGACGATGTGAACGGGACTATACATTAGCTAAGCAGGAGACTATGGATCTCCAGAAGCAGGTTTGTTTTGTAATGCATGTTGCACTTTTGTTATTGTTTAATACTCTCTTCATCCGGATTTAGTTTTCCATTTTCTAAAATTATAATTTTTAGTTTTTTACTAAAGGAGTTTTAAAATGTTAAATTCCTCCTAAAAATTAGTTTGCTACTCATTCATGTTTACATGCGCATACCCTATCTCTATGATTTTTAATGCACTAACTTTGGTTCAACTTTGTCTAGATTTAAAGTGCATAACATTATTAGTGCAGTCTCTCTTGGAGTAGTTCACATGATGATCAGATAATTTATTCCATTAAAATGTCGGTGGCTGGAATGTTCACTAGAGCCCAAATGCTAATCTTAATTTTTCACCGCATGTCTCGTTTAGTTACATTAAATGTACACTCAAATATGAAATAGTATTGGCCTAGTGATCATTTTTTTGAGTTTATTCATTGCTTATCATTGGTCTCTTTTTGCCCTATAATTTTTATAGAAGTGTTTCATGCTGCTACTCTTTTTGTAGGTGACTGTGCTTTTAAAGGAGTGCCGTGATATACAACTCCGTTGTGGATCTGTGGAGCAAAATGCTGTCCCTGACATGGTCATTGGTGAAAGTGATTTTGATCAGGATGAGAATCTGGTATGCCTGATGTAATATGTGTGCCAGCTGTTATTCTGTTCAAAAGTTTATATTCATATGTCATATGTTTCTTACTTTCTTTATTCATATGCAATTGGATTCCAGTTGAGCTTCAAGGATATAAGTGGCCTAGTTGAACAAAATGCCCAGTTGAGGAGTCTTGTTCGCAACCTTACTTCTCAGATTGAAACCAGAGAATTAGAGTGGAAGGTGTTTAAAGTCTTGTTCAGTGCTCTTACATATATGAAATGTAACGTGCATCTGTTAACACATGTATCATATTCTGTTCAAATGTTATTATAAAATCGTAGGGTAAGTTTGAAAAAGAGCTTCAGAGACAAATTGATGATGCTACCTCAAAAGTGAATGCTGTTTTAGCAAGAGCTGATGAGCAAGGACATATGATTGAGTCACTTCACACATCTGTAAGCTTATTAAGTGATTAAAGTTGCATACATAGCTTTTGTGCAGCATTTCTTACTTTTATTTGCCGGTTGACATGTTTGTTTCTTCTAATGCTTCCTTATAAAATAGGTTGCAATGTACAAAAAGTTATATGAAGAGGAACACAGGCTTCATACTTCTGAAAAATCTCCTCCACATTTGGCAGGTTTCTCCTTTTAATCTGCCTGGTTGTACATAGCATTTTAGAATCTGTCTCAGTAGAGTTTTTTAATGAAAGATAGTCTCATTCTTATATTTTCTTGTTTTATTTATTGTAGATGATCAGCGGGCAGAACCAATGATTTTAACTGAACGCTCTCAGGCATGTGGTATTTTGTATGCATTTTAGTTTTGCTCCTTACACGTACCAATGTTGTTGGATCTGGGCGTAGGTTGTTTGAGGAAAAACAGTGGTTTTAGATGGAGAAGGAGTGATAGTCGATTACCTAAAGAGATAATCGATTATGGAAGGGTTCAGTTTCTCAAAGGGTTTGGTGGAGAGTTTCTGAAGGGGTTGATAGTCGATTTACACAAATATGAAAATCGATTATTGGTGACTGCAGATGTTTCTTGTGAGTGGATAATCGATTATTCCAAGCAGGTAATCGATTATTGGGCAGTTTCAAGGAAAAAAAAGGAAGTGTTTTAGTAACGGGGATAAACCAAGGAGGTCTAAGAGATATAACACACTCTTATCCTTTCTTGGGGTTGAAATCTAGATTTCAATTAAGATATAACACACTTAATGAAATACTAGAACCTAACACTCACACTTAAGGAAACCAACCTTAAGATATAGAAATTAGGATTTGAAAACAGAATACAACCAGTGTATTTCTATCTTGAAATGAAGAATACAATCTGAGCATTACAATAGGCCTATGGCCGAAATTTAAAGGCACTCATACAAGGGAAAATACTAAGCTATTTCTTCCACAAATCCTAGAAAATGCAGTCATGTGCTTGAGT